TTCGTTTGGACTGGTACGTGGAAGTGGAAACTTAATAATTCTCCAGTGTCTGAAAACAGGCACATACTATTGCACTGTGTATGTAATACATGCCTTTTCTGACTGAATTTGAAACCTGTGCAAGCTCACTTGAATGACTTTGAGCTTTTCCTCTTATCTAAAAGCCTCAGCTTTGTATAGAGAAGTCACTGTAGTCTCTGTTGTAGCTCTCAGACTGGATCCATCCTGATGGATTATTTCCATCTGGTCTATAGATTTGTTTTGTTTTCTGGAGGAGTCAAAACAACTGTTTTAGTAGTGGGTGCTTCCTACAAATGGAAAACATTCTCCAGGGGAGAGCTGGGCAGAGCAATGGCTGCTGCTGTGTCTAGGTGCATGGGGTACCACTTCCTGCTGCAGCAGAGGTAGCCTCTCCCAATAGTAGCTGACACCATCCTCACCCGATATGTGGCAGGAGCATCAGATGAGTTATCTGTAGTGAGTTAAAATGATGCTCTCACTGCTGAGAGCAGGAGAAAAGGATGCTGCTTTGTGACTCAGCATGGACCACCTGATGTGTGCATTGTGTGGGGAAAAATGATAAACAGAATAGATGCTAAGCTTCTGCATGCAAATTGGATAATGTGGGCACAGAAGACATCAATGATCCAAACATTTTATCTTTTTAAGTCTGTGACGATGATCCAGCTGTGATGCTCAAACATCTTCTTAACATTGTTTGAAAAGTCAAAGCTGGAAGTTTAAGAGGTAGAGACGCAGCAGCATTCTTAACACAGTTAATGGAAAAATACCAAGGGAAACAAATGAGGCACTGTGCACAGGTCTTGTGGGGGGGAAAAAAAAAATTATATGTAGTGGAAGGCTTGCAAATCTAGTGATGTCTACTTGTTTCTTGTCTCTAGCAAGCAGAGCAGTTCTGGATAGTTCTTCCCTCTTTATTCTTGATTGTGTGCTTCCTTGTGTTTCTGTGGCTATGCAGTGGTTTGGATGAGGGAAAACTTACAGTTTGGTTTATGGATCAGATAATTTTCCTTTGGGACTCGTCTCCTGATCTAATTCACTACAGTGTGCAGTTTGTATTGGGGACCTGTACTTCCACAGGTACTGCTGATGAAACTGCCCAAGACTCCATAATATGATTAGTTGCTCAAACCATAGTTCAGCAAACTTGATTTGCTCTTCCTCTGTGGCATCTACTTAGTTTTGCTAGGGCAAGCGTTTGCAAGTTTGCATAGCAGGGAAGATAATGGAACTGACTGAATTTAAAATACCCATTTGTTTCTTAGGTTACTTGTAAACTAGATTAGGTACTCAATCCACCACGCCCTACACATACAGTACTGTTACAACTGAATAGATGTGTTAGGACTAGGCATGACAGGCTGCCTATGTTGGCATTGTAGAAGGCTTATTTGTCAAACAATGACTTTGATTTTTTTTTAAATTTAGTATCTATTAATAAAAGGTACAGATCAAGCTGATCTAATAGTTGGAAGCATTGCTTCTCTGAGTGATGTGTGTATAGATGTTATGATGTCCATTTTTTTCATAGGCATGCAGAATTTTATGTGCGAGAGTGCTAGATTAAAGATACTTAAAAACTTTAAGATGGAGAGATATTCAGTTTCCTGGCATTTAATTTAGGTCAGGGCACTGAGAACATATTTGCTACCAGTTCTTGATCGTGCTGACTGCAATGTTTCTGAGAACTGAAGGGCATCAAGGACATTGGTTAATATCCTTAAGTATTCATAACAAGTCTTCATTTTGTTATATTCTGTGATGTTCATTATGTTTCTCTTGTTTTCAGTATTCTACATAGAAACAGTTACTGAAACTACTCTAGAGAGGCTATCAGTTTGATTAGGGCCAAATTAGTATTTTTATCTTTCACTAGAAAATTTTGGTAGGTGTGGATATTGAAATAACTTTTTGCCTGCCTTATAGGCAGGTATGAAGCATATTGGCTGGTATTTTGGTGTTCTGAAGATCAGAGTATTATATCCTAGTCTGATGAGGGTTATGTTTGAATGTGGTTTACTGATAACTTTAAATAATCTTATTTGCAGAAATCCCTTTAGTTAGAGAGTTATCAGTGTACCATTTAGTTGTCTAAATCCATTGCTAGGTTTGAGCATGGCAGCAGTTGTAAAAAATATAATTTAATGTCCACCGGGAGCCTACATGGGGAGCTTGTTACATAGGAGCATATGATAAGATACTATCTCCGGAAATCTACTTTCCAAATCAAAAGTTAAATTTCGTGCTAAACACAACTTACAATTTCAGGTGAAGTTTTAACTGACATTTATTATTACATCTCCACAGGGAAACTTCATATTTGCTATAAGTATTCCAGACTGTTCTTCCTAGTCATTGTGTGAGACCCTAGTTTTCACCTCTTGAAAGTTTTTAGGGTAACCTTGATTGTTTTAAAATGCTGTCATTAATTTTTTGTTTTTGTTATGAAATGGCTTGGCAACGGTAGGTTCAAATAGTTGTTTTAATTGGAAAATTCAACACATTCTGCATCTTTCAGTATACAGGCAGAAAGTTCAAACTTTAATTTTGCTGTGCCAAGCATGAGTGAAGTTTGCTTCAGAGAATTTTGGGCTCTGTATAAAGATATGCAGAGCATATTGTGGCTCTTTAGGTTATCAGCCAAATACACAGACAGACCTCTCAATCAAAAGAGTTTCCAAATGTATTTATAGGATTGTTGTTTTATGAAATTTTGTATGTGTTTGAACATTGAGAAGCCAGTTTCTTGTTGGTTTGAACTGGTATGAACGGGGGTGACATAAATTTAGCTATTAGGTTACATCAGTATAAGGACTAGCTCTGAATACTAGCATATTCATATTTGTGCTTCTTTAAGCAGAAAAACCATAGCAGAGGCTCGTAATTTCTAAAATGATAGATTGTTTTCCTTTTGTTCTCAAACACTTTGGCTATTAATGAAAAAATACTGTGTTTGTTGGCTTCTACTCAGCTGTTCTGGGTGTACAGTGTGTTAACGTAAATCAGCAGTTTCTGCTTCTATAAATAGACTTCATCAGCAGCTGCAGAGCAAAACTGACAAGCTTCTGGTAATTTTTATTATTGCCATTCAGAAATTGTTTGAATCACTGTGAAAGTGGTACGTATGCCTGCTGCGGTTCAATGTGCAGTTTGAGCTGAGGTTACGA